ATTTCAACCTATCACTTACAAACGGTGTCTTCTCAAATCCCCTTCAATAGGACTGGGATGCTATACTCAAATGACAAAACAAATGAAAAATTGTCTGTTCTGGTAAAGCAACTCATAAAAATTGGGTACTCAATGACATTTATCACAAAATTGTGCTAATTAGATTAATCCAAGTAGACGAACGTAGACAATGATTGGTTGTCATTTGAAATAGACTGTTAGATAGTCCGACAGGTATATGAAAAGGCTTTAAAAACAAATTGTCAGTGAGTGGAAATGTTTCCACATATCAGTAGTACACTATTTAAGATGTTTCATAAGGCATAATTTGATGATGATCAATGTAGCTCCTGGTTTCACTTTTCATGTAACTGCAAAAAGGCAAGTTTCAATTAACAAATACAGTGTTGATTTTAGAAGTCAAATATATTCAAGTTGTTATAAAGTGAAATTCTGTGTCCATTTTTTGGTTAAACAGATCTGGTGAATTATCATTGTGGCATTTCTAAACGTGTTTTATGTTGAGAATAGAAATTAGTCTGATACGTCGAACAAGTAGTACCAATGCACGTCTGCTGGACCCATATAGTGTCTTTTGAGCCATATTCATAATGACAGCGTCCAGTGTGTTGTTTCACGAGATCCCTGGTGGTATTCATGGGACTGAGTTACTGAATATAATTAGAAGGCTTCCATGAAGTTATTAGCATACTTCAGATAGATGAACTCCAACCTTTTCTAGGTAGGTGAAGTAATATTTTGGGGTTTAATTCGATCCACCGTCATTGAATGCATTGTTTTATCATAAATCCATATGTAGCTTGTTTTCCAAGCTTTATTCCGGCGTATAAACGGTCGCGCCATGTATGATCATCATTTTGTTTGGTCATGGTTTTAATTCTCAATTGCGACTTGTCGTTTGTCGAAGTCGGTACTTTTAACGGCTGGGTAGTCTTAGATCCTGGCGAAGATCAAGCGATGAGTAATTTCTGGGATTTGTTTATGGACAAGCATTATACGTATATTCTTATTATACAACTGTTTAGCAACTAGACAATGTATATCTTTACTCCACTTACTTTAAGCTTTACTTGGATCTTCAGACTAATGTGATACGATTAACTACGCTTCCGCGACTAGCCGCACAGTTAACAACCGATACGGTGTAGGACTATTCCTATACTACATGCATGCTACACTCTTCTCTTCTTTGATTCTTTTCTGTATCCTGAGCCCACGCCTCCCACCATCTCCGTTTGGTACCGTCGACTTCAGTCAACTTTGGCGAAAGCTGGACTGGCCACCCACGCTCTTGTCAACGCACTCAGTCGATATTTTGGTTTCGAATGCTTGGCACACGCTTGATCTCGAACTTTTTCGTTATGGTCGCTTCTGGTTCCTCGGCCTAACGTGGTTCCGTCCTACGTCTGCAGCGTTTCTGGTCCGCATCACTACGAACGCAATCTTCAGTTTCTGGATACAAACCACTCTGGTGTAGTATGCCAACTCAAGCAACAAATACAGCACACCGCCCCTGGTACCGTTCTCCGAAAAGGAACTTCGTTGGCAACTCGACGATCAACGATCGCTTTCCTGCTCCATCAATTCTTCCGTCTTACAATCGCTCTTCAGCCGATCAGTCCCACGATTCAAGCCGCTTTTTATCGAAAGTGTAAATCCTTTCTAGTGAGTGGCTCCAGTAGTGACTCATTTTATCACGAGAAAACGATTGGTTTATTGAAAACAATAATTATTATACCCAACTGTACCCGTGCTTGTTTTAACGTGCTTTTGTTTAACTGTGCTAATTACAGCCATTTTGTGCTTCCATTACTTTCCATCATTGTTCCGTGGGTTTTGGCTTTACTCTCACGTACTCCGCTTTCCTGCTCTTGCTTGTACCATTTCTTGGCACGATCTTGGTATTCGTTCGATACCGCGAGATCGCCAACGAAATAAATCTGGTTACGTTCAACCTTCGCCTTCTGATTTCTTTGGCCGTGTTTCTTGGTAGCGGTGTTCTTAGTCGATTGAAACTCGACGCCACGCTAGAAGAGCATGATTCTACATGAGAATTGTTGAGGTGACAAAGTAATCGAGAAGTGTGGTCCATATCATAACAAATGAAGAACGCGTTATCAACATATCTAGAGTAGTATGTTGTGTTTTAGATTTCATGTTTCAGTTTTGTTTGTTCTAGGTTAGCCATTAAGATATCGTCTAACTAGACTCCAATGGTGATCTCATGGCCACTTGATCGGTTGTTTTGTATAGTTGATAGTTGAGTTAAAAATGAACCTCATTGTTAATCATTTTCTCAACTCATTTAATCAGAACAATCATTATTATAACCAACTGTACCCGTGCTTGTTTTAACGTGCTTTTGTTTAACTGTGCTAAAAAACATATATTATTTCACACTTTGATTGTGAACTCGCGCGAATCCGGTTGCGCTCTGTAACCAAGCTTGTATCCTGGCACGATCTCGGTATTCTTTCGATACCACGAGATCGTCAGCAAATATATCTCGACTTGGTCCATTAAATGCCTTCTGATATTTCGCTTCCGGGGGATTTTATGGGTTTATTTGGCGCTACAACCAAACGTATGGGAGTACTCAGAGTTGTTCAACTGGGGACCTGTGGTTATTAGGGTGCCTCAGGTTTCGATATTGGGACCACGGTTGTTCCTCGGTTGCTTATCAGTTGTAGTGAACTATTTTATCAATAAAACGCGATTGGTTTAATGGAAACAATTATTATTACAACCAATCGTGCCAGCGATTTTCTTACTGTACTTGCTTCTTTGACTGTATTAAAGACATTCTTCCGTCCGTTGATTGTGACTTTGCACGCGCTTACGTTTGCTGAGCTATCCCGCTCGTACTCTTTAGGCACGATCTCGGTATTCTTTCGGTACCACGAGATCGCCAACAAATATATCTCGCAACAATCTTCAATCGCCTTCTGATATCTGGTACGCAACCTTCTTGTAGTGGTGATCATAGTCAACCGTGACTGGACGTCACACTGCACAGTCTTGCTAGATATTGAAGATATCAATATATATAGAGCGATTACGAGGGAAGGTGATACCTTATAGCTTCAAATTACCTGAATAAAATTGGTAGTTGCCGATAATTACTTCCGAATGTATTGTGATATATATTGGTCATCAATGTACTAATACATAACCGGTGAATAACATCGAGCTACCTTTTCATCAGGATGCACAATGTCTAAAGAGTCATTGTTGGCCAGAACTTAAAAACTACTGCGCACTGCTGTACAATATCTGACAAATATTTTAGGACCCTATGTTCAATACGTAGGATCTTTAGTCATGTCGAAACTGAGACCTTTTTGACTTTGCATACAATGTCCGTTCGTCCTAGACTGGAGTGCTGTAGACAAGCAGCTAGCCACTGCCTAAAATGAGACAGTCAATTGTTGGAACAGTATCAAAGAGCCACAGCCAAATTGATTACCGGAACAGCTTAGCTCTTTATGATGCTCGGCTGGATAAACTCAACTCATTGTCATCGTCATTTAGAAGAACTAAAGGCGACTTCATCACGGTTTTTAAATCGCTCAAAGGTAAATTTGCATCTTATATGTACTCACTTTTCTTGTATTCCAAAACAGAGAATTTACGAAGACACTCTAAAATGTCCACAAGCTTAGAACACATTACTTGTCAACTGACCAATGAGATTCTCGTTGAGTCAACGAATCGAATTCATAACCCCAACGCGTTATTGAGGCTCCATCTGTCAAAGATTTCAAAGAAAGTTGGTTCAAGCTGAGAGACCATCATTGCCAGGACTGACACAGGCCGCCCGGCATTTCCAAATTGAAAGAGTAAACTGGTATAACAAAAAGTGAGCTGATGACAGTGGAAGTGTGAAAAATTCAATTACAGTTAGAAATAAATTTTCACATGTCAGAAGAAAACGATACTACTACTACTACTAGGGCCTCTTCTCTTCTTGATCTACATAAATGATCTTCCTCAACAGGTGACGTCAGACTTATTACTTTTTGCCGACGACGTGAAACTTTGGAGAGAGATACGCAACCAAGACGATACACAGTCACTTCAGGAGGATCTGACGCGACTTCAAAGTTGGGCAGACGATAACGGACTTACCTTTAACACTTCAAAGTGTGAAGTAGTCCATATGCGACATGTCGCAAACTACAGTTACAACTTAGGAAACTCCTCTCTAGTAGTATCCCAAGTCGAAAAAGATTTAGGAATCCTACTGCCCCATGATTTAAAGTCTTACGCTAACTGTGACAAAAATGCCTTCCGAACGAACCTTGCACTGGTAACGTTGAAGCGCATTTTTGGCCAGTTTGACGGAAGAACTTTCCATACAATCTTCAATAGTTTTATCCGTCCCCATTTAGAGTACGGAAACATAGTACTCCCCCTCACTCCAAAAGGACAAAGTCACTTTAGAGCGTATCCAACTGCGAGCCACGAAATCAGTTCGAGGACTCAAATCTAAGCCTTACGAAGAACGCCTCCATTCACTAGACCTTTACCCATTAGAGTATAGGCGTCTTAGAGGTGATTTATTAATGGCTTATAGTATTCTTAACACTTCTAGACATCCTCTCAGACACCTACTTAAGCTTAGTTCGAATAATAACCTAAGGGGCAACACCCAGAAACTGGAAACACAACATAGCAAGACGGAATGTAGACACAACTTCTACTCCTTAAGAGTTGTCAAAAGCTGGAATTCGCTGTCGGCCGAGCTAGTCCAAGCGACTTCTCAGGAGTCCTTCAAGAGGCAACTTGACCTACTCTTAAGAACCAAGAACAGCATCACACTATGATTTACCAATTTCTTTTCCTCTTTTATTGTTAACATACCTAGGTTCCTGCCTGGAGGGTTTCGTGATCCCCTGCTACTAGACACGGAAGCCTGTTAAGCAAAAGCTTCTTCTATTCCATCCACAACCATTTGAACCATTTATAAGTTTGTAATTGTTGAAATAAAGCCGCCTAGTTTGAAATTGCGCGACATCAATGTGGTTGAAGGAGTCACAACCATTGCACGTGTGTTGGTTTATAGAGGTAGATTTCGGCACGAACATTCGGGCTCAGTGTAGCGACTAAGTGTCCTGTCGGGTAGTAGTTAGTTGTTGATCGAAACTCATCCTGGACCGATTGAACGGTTGAATTCGTGAGATTACTCGTCTTGATTTCATCTCTTAAAATTGTCCTCAAAGGATTCTCGAATCGAGGTCTCTTTCTCTTACCTGTCCGTGTTTCTCGTAAAGAAAACCGCTAGAAAAAGAACAATGCGTATGCAAAAATGTCTTTTACATATATCAACTCTATTTTCGGTAAGAGTATTATAAACTGTTAGTTTCTGAACATTCCTGAAAACTAATAGCCTAATGTTAATACTTGTTGGTATCAGCTCCTAATCATACATCCTTCACGAATATATTAATAATCCCCCTTGTGGTTTTGTAGCTCGTGAGTTAAACGGTTCACGAGTTAAGGGGTTTCGAACCCTCTGGGCTTTAAAAAGGACATTCACTAAGCTTGATACTACCATGTTCACCACATTATACACATCCTTAGTGAGAACTAAGTTAGAGAACTGTGTTCAGGCTGCAAGCCCCTGTTTAAAAGGTGACTCAGACATACTAGAAAAGGTACAGAGGGCAGCTACGCGTGCAATTCCGGAACTCCTGGGTTTATCATATGAAGAGCGGCTTGAAAAACTGAACCTCTTTACTCTGTTCTATCGCAGACTAAGGGGAGATCTAATATTGATGTACAGAATACTGAGAAATGATTTCGGACCTAACTTATTCTCTCTCTTTCTTCCCACTAGATCGGGACACCTCAGAGGACATAGCAGGCGAGTAGAAAAGCCAAGAACGAACAAAATACCCCTGGCATACAGGTTTTCACACCGAGTCATCAATACTTGGAACCTGCTGCCTGAAGCAGTGGTATCCGCACCTTCAATTGACTCTTTCAAGAGAAGACTGGACACTCACAGAAGCATACTAGAAAAGGAATAACATAGGCCGTAGGCCTTCTGTCCTTACTACACAAATCTGAATCAGTGAAGCAGTTTTTACGTACTGAATTACGAAAAAAATTCGTTGTTCAGCATCTGTCATAATAATAGTTCAAAAAACACCATTCCGGTGTCTAGTTTATAGGCCTTCGGTTTTCGCACTACCTTTTCGTGTCTTTGTCTACGTGTTTAGTTAATTGGGTTGAATAAGCAATTGTGAGAAACCCAAACGTTTCATCATGATCAGTGATGAAATACAACGTAATGATTGTAAAATGCACAAAACTATTAACTGAAAGAGACGTAGTGCTACTTTTTGTAAAATATTGTTCAACCATATGAATATGTCCAAAAATATGATATGATAATTGTATGTGGATATAATTATGTGTGGCGCACTTTTATTTGATGTCCTCCTGTACCAATAATTATGTGTTCAAATAAATAACGAAGTAGAGAGTTATGAAGTCTATTTGAATATGTAATGCTATAACGCAGATGATAATGATGCCTCATAATAGTCATAAATATCACATTATCACCTCCGTATATTCATAAATATATACTCATATATAAAGACGCTCTAACAGTGATTGGTGAGTAACAATCAAAAATATTCACATCTGTAATAGCGAAAATATACGTGTTTAGGTGTGGTGGGATGATCAAGCAACTAGATGTAAATAATTGTATGATCAATGTGTGCGATCTATTTCATTTATTTAAACACATGGACATTGGTACAAGGAGGCATCAAATATATATGCGCCATATTTCGTCATTCGATTTGTATGAGGGTTGGGATACTGATCGGGTGCCCAAACCGAAGCAGGTGGTTTTCTTCGATGGCCACCCCGAGCCTTTGACCTAAAGGTTTAACCTGGAAGGTAGTGGAGCAACGTTAGGCGATGCAGTCTGATGGTATCTGGTGACCAACAATAGGTTCATACACCATTTGTTTTCTCATTATCCTGTAGTCTATGTGCACTACTGGTTTGGAGTCAGGGTTTCCCTACGTGTGACCATGTGAGAGCTGGCTCTCCCCACTCTTGGCCGTACCAGGACACTTGGGCTCATTGTGTGTGAACAAGAAATAAGCTGTCAGTGTTAGCGCACTGAATTGACTGACCGACTTTCCACTTATCACTTTGTCGTACTTTTTTCTTATTAAATCGCGAAGTGAACGTAGCGAATCATGAACGGATGAGTTTACTTGCTAGAGGTTCACTAAGAGCATGGATTGAGTAGTAATTGTTAGTGAACTTCTCTAGCAGATCTTCACTCCCTGTAGAGATTGACAAGTTGTCCAGCGCACGAAGAACCAAGTCCATTATGTATTTCCTTGTCCACCGGCTGATATGTCGAAATAAGTACAATGCGTATAGAGGCAAAGAAACGCCTTCACGAATTAGATCTTTAGAATGTGCATACAAACTATGACCATAGTGCGGCATGTAGTCATTGAAATGCTCACGAGCACATTATGCATGTGAAGTATCAACAAAATACATCATACCCTTGTCGTAGCAGCGGATGTATTCTCCTGCTATAAGTTCGTGTCTCATTTTCCTAACACGTTTATAATTTACAGCTACAATTTTAGCTGCAAAAGCTGTGAACTCATTTAAAATAGTTCGGAATGACATTGGAACCTGAAATTAATGATACATTTAACTATATTTCTTACCTGAAGAATTGGAAAACGTTGAAGATCCTTTACAGCCTCATATGGACGCAAACGTAGGTCAGTGTCTGTTTTACTCCAAATTTTCCAGAACGTCAATAGCAGAGAATCACCTCTTCTGTGACATTCTTTTAGGTGTTTATGAGCACTTTCGACGGTTGTTTTTGTCGTTGCCCAGGCTTAATACATGTTGCCAGTAACAGCGAGCCCACATTGACTTCCGGGCAATCGAGTAGTCTTTTATATAATCATACGCCCGTGAGAAATGGGTCTTTAGACGTTCGTACTTCTGGATATAGTGCGTTATGAAGAGCAAAGCTCACATGTCAGACCACCTAGTCTTCACAAGGTGTTCCAAGCATTTGTGCACATCAGGAATTCGGAACTACAGAAAATAATTTGTACAGCTAACACATACCTTCCTGGAAAATGCTCTTAGGACATGGAATGAACAAAGTATTATGTTAGAATGACTGTGCGTAGACTGCACAGCTGAAATTTCGGTCGCTGCCGAACCCATAATGAAAGTGCGTGTATCATAAGTACCGCACATTATCTCTTTAAAGCATTCCAATAGTTTTTCGATATCTTCGCGTCGTTCTTGACTGCAGAGAGCATACATAACAGTGTGCCCTTGCCCAAGACTATCAGTCACCACTAGCTGGAACAGTGGAAAACTTTCAGATAAATTTATTACTAGTCGTTACTTACCCAACTTTGTTGGTCTGATAAGTCGAATCAATGCATATTACCTCCGGGAACGCGTGGTAAACAGCTATTTGCTCTCTGTGGCTGAAGCAAATCATAGACATGTTCCCATTTTCATTGAATACTTTAACTTCAGTATTTGCTTGAACGCGCTGTAAAATGTCATTGATATTTTTAGTGTCTAAACTCAATTAATTACAATGTGAGTTCAACAACCTGGGTATAACTGTGAACACATTTTAGCGATATCGTCCTTGGTAAGCTGTTTATGGAACTTCCAAAAAACCATATGCCGTAAGCTACGAGTTGGTGTATTACTCAGTAGAAACGTTCTTAAATACAAGCGTTCATTTGACGTTAACTGTCGTCTCGGTGGATCGACAGAAATATATCCTTCTGTGCAAGGAGGGTTGTGCACGGTTTTAATAGAGGTGACTTTCAGCTCACCATTTACTGCCCAGACCCGAAACCAAGATTGACAATGGCAATATTTCGACCTGAAGAATAAATTCATTTGAAGTAAGGCATACGTAGATAACTGATGTCGTCTCCTTTGTCTAGCTTGTGTTGCCGAGTTAAAAGTTGTATGCTCTTCGGAAGAATGATGACATACGGGTTCGAACTCACCACCGTGCACAACCCTCCTTGCACAGAAGGATATATTTCTGTCGATCCACCGAGACGACAGTTAACGTCAAATGAACGCTTGTATTTAAGAACGTTTCTACTGAGTAATACACCAACTCGTAGCTTACGGCATATGGTTTTTTGGAAGTTCCATAAACAGCTTACCAAGGACGATATCGCTAAAATGTGTTCACAGTTATACCCAGGTTGTTGAACTCACATTGTAATTAATTGAGTTTAGACACTAAAAATATCAATGACATTTTACAGCGCGTTCAAGCAAATACTGAAGTTAAAGTATTCAATGAAAATGGGAACATGTCTATGATTTGCTTCAGCCACAGAGAGCAAATAGCTGTTTACCACGCGTTCCCGGAGGTAATATGCATTGATTCGACTTATCAGACCAACAAAGTTGGGTAAGTAACGACTAGTAATAAATTTATCTGAAAGTTTTCCACTGTTCCAGCTAGTGGTGACTGATAGTCTTGGGCAAGGGCACACTGTTATGTATGCTCTCTGCAGTCAAGAACGACGCGAAGATATCGAAAAACTATTGGAATGCTTTAAAGAGATAATGTGCGGTACTTATGATACACGCACTTTCATTATGGGTTCGGCAGCGACCGAAATTTCAGCTGTGCAGTCTACGCACAGTCATTCTAACATAATACTTTGTTCATTCCATGTCCTAAGAGCATTTTCCAGGAAGGTATGTGTTAGCTGTACAAATTATTTTCTGTAGTTCCGAATTCCTGATGTGCACAAATGCTTGGAACACCTTGTGAAGACTAGGTGGTCTGACATGTGAGCTTTGCTCTTCATAACGCACTATATCCAGAAGTACGAACGTCTAAGGACCCATTTCTCACGGGCGTATGATTATATAAAAGACTACTCGATTGCCCGGAAGTCAATGTGGGCTCGCTGTTACTGGCAACATGTATTAAGCCTGGGCAACGACAAAAACAACCGTCGAAAGTGCTCATAAACACCTAAAAGAATGTCACAGAAGAGGTGATTCTCTGCTATTGACGTTCTGGAAAATTTGGAGTAAAACAGACACTGACCTACGTTTGCGTCCATATGAGGCTGTAAAGGATCTTCAACGTTTTCCAATTCTTCAGGTAAGAAATATAGTTAAATGTATCATTAATTTCAGGTTCCAATGTCATTCCGAACTATTTTAAATGAGTTCACAGCTTTTGCAGCTAAAATTGTAGCTGTAAATTATAAACGTGTTAGGAAAATGAGACACGAACTTATAGCAGGAGAATACATCCGCTGCTACGACAAGGGTATGATGTATTTTGTTGATACTTCACATGCATAATGTGCTCGTGAGCATTTCAATGACTACATGCCGCACTATGGTCATAGTTTGTATGCACATTCTAAAGATCTAATTCGTGAAGGCGTTTCTTTGCCTCTATACGCATTGTACTTATTTCGACATATCAGCCGGTGGACAAGGAAATACATAATGGACTTGGTTCTTCGTGCGCTGGACAACTTGTCAATCTCTACAGGGAGTGAAGATCTGCTAGAGAAGTTCACTAACAATTACTACTCAATCCATGCTCTTAGTGAACCTCTAGCAAGTAAACTCATCCGTTCATGATTCGCTACGTTCACTTCGCGATTTAATAAGAAAAAAGTACGACAAAGTGATAAGTGGAAAGTCGGTCAGTCAATTCAGTGCGCTAACACTGACAGCTTATTTCTTGTTCACACACAATGAGCCCAAGTGTCCTGGTACGGCCAAGAGTGGGGAGAGCCAGCTCTCACATGGTCACACGTAGGGAAACCCTGACTCCAAACCAGTAGTGCACATAGACTACAGGATAATGAGAAAACAAATGGTGTATGAACCTATTGTTGGTCACCAGATACCATCAGACTGCATCGCCTAACGTTGCTCCACTACCTTCCAGGTTAAACCTTTAGGTCAAAGGCTCGGGGTGGCCATCGAAGAAAACCACCTGCTTCGGTTTGGGCACCCGATCAGTATCCCAACCCTCATACAAATCGAATGACGAAATATGGCGCATATATATTTGATGCCTCCTTGTACCAATGTCCATGTGTTTAAATAAATGAAATAGATCGCACACATTGATCATACAATTATTTACATCTAGTTGCTTGATCATCCCACCACACCTAAACACGTATATTTTCGCTATTACAGATGTGAATATTTTTGATTGTTACTCACCAATCACTGTTAGAGCGTCTTTGCATATGAATATACTTACGGTCAGTCAGCTATGACTTAGGACCAGGCACGTATATGCATTGGTCCATACCACATTAGCATAAGATGAATATCGAAGCCATATTAGTTAGTTGTTTGGTGGTAATATTTCTTATAAGGACGCGGAACAGGAAGGAAGATGTAGTTAGCAGAAAGTTGTGAAGCGGTTTTATTTTCACGCTGTAAGGCATGACAAAGAGTGTATACACGTACGCCATTGTGATCAATTATGACCCATAACATTCAGTCTCCAACCATTGATTACGATAGTCACGAGGACGCCAACTAAATAGCCTGCATCCACCATCATGGCTAAGACTAGAACTTAGTGGCTCCGAGCTCTGGTTTCACGTTTTGGTTTGATCGTCTGTAACTTCCTCCCAACCAGCATCGCGCGTCGTGGCAATCGGTGTCCAAGCATACGTAACACCGTGGCCCAACCATTTTAGTCGTTGAAAATTCACAACCTCGTCAACTGATTTAGCACCACTCCCTAATACCCTGCGTCTAACCTCACTGTTAATTACCTGGTGGTCCCAGTAGATGCCAGCAATATTTCTAAGACATCTGTGGTCAAATACTAATAGCTTATGAATATCTTCAACTCTTAATGGCCACGTTTGGCAGCCGTAAAGTAAAACAACGGTATGCTGTGCAGTATACTTATCCCTTAATTGATAGACGGAGCTGATTATCTCACAATTATTACCATTATATGCCATCATTATCATTAGCGTTTTTTTGCTCTTAGTAATACTCAACTAAATGCACAGTATAACTCTGTACATCAACATACAATTAACATGTTATATTTCTTGACATATTTTTGTGTTCGAATACTATTTCTCGTAAAGCAGTAGTACAATCTTTTGTGTTCATTACTCATTTTTCGTAACGCCACTTAATGTGCACATTATTTTTTAAATCTGACTTTGGTTTTTCCGTTACCGATCTGTATCAACTCCTAGGACACATTGATTAACTCACAAATACACTGCTCCCCATACATTCCTCGTCTTCATCATCTCATCAGCTGCTACATTGACAAATCAGTAATATGATTGCTGTTTACTTTTACAGGTCACATTCCTGTGGTTAGTATAGAATTTTTTCTGATATACATCGATTTGGACTATATATACCGTGTTTGTTATTAATTACTTGTTTCAATTGTGCGTCACATGATCAAGACCCGAACACGCTAGACCTGAAAATAAAGGTAACGTCAAGACTTTTTAGATTTATATATTTTGTGGGCTATTAACTGTCTTTACATTCCGTTCATTAAATTTTTCACTATTTTCATATTAATACTTTTAGTCCGCCACAGAGCGAACGGTCTCACAATGTGTTCACTGGCTCACTTCTGCTGCATATAAGGTGTTGCAAACCAATGGCTTTGTAGAGCATGTTTTTCACGAGATCTCTGGTAATACTCAGGGAATTGAGCTATTGAACACAGCTAGGAAGCTTCAGCAGACCAATGATAAGTTGTAAGGAACGTGAAGCACCTGAAAAATTCCAAAGAAGTCATGTGCCATAGTTAACCCTGCTTCAAATCTGAATAAAACTACCATGACATCCTCAAAATGCAGTAGATTATAAGCACACTGATGCAGAAAAGGAATAAGCGTGTGCAGAAGGGACAAAGTACAAGGAGCTCCAAAAATTGTGTCGCCAGATACAGCCTTAGAATGCTACATCAACGCCATGGTTTTACCACAGCCTGATCTGCACAATGTAGATTTGTTTGAAAATCAAAATAAAGTCAATGATTAGCTTTGGCAACTAGAAAAGCGAAGGCCCTTACATCCTTTGCTGAACCGATCTGCGGGGAAGAGTTTAAGTTCAAGAAATGCAGCCTCAGTCATCTTTGAAAAACTAGAAAAATCTGAAAAGGACTAAAAGGCTAGTTTGAAAAACAATGTAAACCATATTGATTCACTAATAAGCAAACTATGCTTCCACTGAGGAGCAAAAATCTACTATTGGAAAAGTCACAAAGACTAATTGGATCCGGAATCTATATCGGCGTTGATCTAAGCCTGGTTGATCTTATGATTTCATTGCTGTCTGAAAAATGGCTAGCATCAGTAGTGTGTGACATTAAAATTCAGTCGTTTGGTTCCTTATTATGTAAGACCGACAGATTAAACCGTAGGGGGGTTCGCGTCATCTTATTCTTTCTAGTTGACTCTCCCGATTTGTTGAAAACATTCTGTCTTTCCCGAGGTCTGGTGCAGTAGGACGTGACTAAATTGTTGCACTCGTTGATTCTTAAAGTTGAGCTGCAGTTATTCCTGATAAATCTACTTTCATAATAGTTTTCCAACTGGAAACTTTATGCCATTTACTTGACTCGCTGTTTCTCTCAGTTGTCTTCGGACATAGCTCCTACTTATGAATTCCTCTGTGTGAGCACCTTTCGGGTTGCTTCTTTTTGAACATGTTTCAAGATAAGGTAACATAATATGGCAGTTTATTTCGAGACCAGGTCTAAAGAAACACTTAAGATGGTTTTGACTAATTCCGGACTACCGTTTTTCAAAAGGAAACTCCAAGAAAAGACGCTTTACTAACTGCGGAACATTTACTAAAAAAAACACATACTAATGGCTTGGTCCGTTTCTACCATCTAATGCTGAAATCACATCAAACAGTACAAGTTTTATGTGTCGCTACTACTCAGCGGTGGAACTTGTTGGAGTTAAAAGAGAGTAATTTTCTAATGGTCCAATAGTTGATCCTATTCAAATCATATTGAAATCATCCTCATATTACCGGCTTACTTGGTAGATCGTCCATCAACAATAGAAATGGTCCAAAAGCTGTTGATATGGCTTCACATTTTCAGCCATTATTGTCAGTGATAGAAAAATACAGGATAAAGGGGATTTTTTATATCCTTTGTAGTAAACCTGCATCTTTAGTGTGATACTTTATTATTATTTATTTTACGTGAACAAAAACATTGGTACAAAGAGGCATTTCACTAGGATTATTTCTCAATTTAATGAATTTTTGTTTATTTTCAAAGATGTCAGTAGAAGATTGTGAAAATGAATTACTTGCACTGGAATCCATTTATGAAGATAAGTATCAACTTGTACAAACTACACCTAGACGAAAAATAAAAGTAAATCTAAATGGTCAGTCAGATGATTCACTGTCAACTAAAGTTCGATGTCAGCTTCTTTTTGAACTTACAAGCAATTATCCAAATAAACCACCTAAATATCAAATACTTAAACCTGAAAATCTTTCAGACGAAGATATTTCCGATATAAATATTATAATCAATGAAGTAATTGAACGATCCCTAGGATTTGTAATGTTATTTGATATATTAACAGAAGTTCAAGAAAAATTAAATAGTATCTGTTCAAAAATCTTAATTCGTCAGCGTAATGAAGCTAAAGAAAAACGAAAAGCTATACAACTAGAAGAAGAAGCGAAATTCCGTGGTGATAGAGTTACAGTGGAGTCGTTTCTAGAATGGAATACAAAATTCCTTGCAGAAATGGAATCATTAAAAGAGAAGTCAATATCTGAAGATCAAAGTGCTGTTAAACGACTAACTGGACGTGAGCTATTTTTGAAAGATAATCATTATGACGATTCCGATTTGACCTTCTTGGAAACTAATGGTGGCGAAGTTGTAGAGATTGATGAACATTTATTTGTTGACATTGGCGATATAGACCTGGATGATGATAATGACGACGATAATAACCAAGTAGTTGTGACGGGAACAGCCTGAACATATTATATACTTTGTACAAATTAATTCACTCCAAAAGTATCATTGCTTTTATTTTAACAGTTCTCCTCCGGTATGTAAAGACAAAGATATACAAAGTTGGAAATAGACTTCTATGACTATGTAAATTCTAAAAACTGTAACTTCCTGATTTCACAAACTTGACGCCACATTTACTAAGTGTCATACGAATTTGGCGATTATAAATTGTTAACTTGCAAAGCTTTAGTTTCGTGTTCTAAAACCTAGGATAATTATTTAAATAAAAGTATACAACTTGGGAACCAAAGGCAAATTCGTCTTCATAGTTAATATTTTTGGAAATAAATATACCTATTGCATAAACCTTTGTTACTGAGGCGAGATTCAATTATATTATTGAATAAATGTATCTAGATCACTGGTGTACAACACCTAGTATTCTCAGAACTGTAGTATATGGGTTCAATAATAACTGATTCGGTTAAGTATCTGATTAATATTTCTAGTTTTCTTACACCATCAACACTTTCTGTGTGCTTATTCCTAAGGATTTTTTGGATTTCGGAAAGAAAATCCTACCTGAACTTCTAAAGGTCCTTCAACTAATGTCAGTTTATGTTGAAGAACTGATGTTCTTATGATGTTCATGTAGATAATTCCTAATTAAAATGTAGTTGTAGGCTTATTATGTCAATAAAGCCGCTCCAACAATGCGAATATTGCTGTGATACGGGCTTACATATACCAGACCTTACCAGTTATTACCCCTTACATTTAGAGATTTCCACTGTTTAAAGTAAATCATTCCTTCACCATATTCCCTGAAACATTTAAAGTTACTTTAGTTTGATTCATATTAAGTACTGTCTGAACTGTTAGTGAAATTATACAGTAAGCGTTCCAATCTTAATAATACGAATTTTTACGATAGAACAATGAGAAGATGGAGTTTATCTGAAAAATGTGATGTATTTGCGCTATACATTTCGAACAGTCAGTCAGTCAGTAACAACGTAGAACTTCGTACATACGTACATCAGTTCGAGTTGCCACACCACATTAGCACAGAGATGCAGTTGTCGATTCAAATCCCGTAGTGGTAGAGGTAATAAGAGTATAAGCAGTAATCGGGAAGATTAGGGTTTGGAGATGTTATTCAAGGAGTATAATCCAGTGAAATAAATTTGAAAAGAGAAAAAAGAAAGGGACATGAAGAATTCAGAAGATTAGAATTTCGGAGAACATAAAGAGTGGATGCACCTGCGCCATTGCAAACGATTTTGAGCCATGTCATTCAGGGTCTCTAACCATCGGTTGCTATCATCTCGCGGTCCCCAACCAGGTAGTCTGCACCTACCAACATGACTCAGTCCACTTGTCAGTGACTTCATGGACTTGTGCCATGTTTTGGTCTGGCCGCCCCTAGCTTTCTTCCAACCTACTCCTATACCACTGAACATAGCACGTCAAGGCAGTCGGTCGTTGGACATACGTAATACGTGTCCCAGCCACCTCAACTGATGAAGTTTCACTACTTCATCAATTGATTTGCTATCCTTACCTAGTACCCGTTTCCTAACAACTGTGTTGCTTACTCGATGGTCCCAGGATATACGAGCAATGTTTCGAAGACACCTATGATCAAATACTAGTAGCCTACGTATATCCTCTACTCTTACCGGCCATGTTTCACTGCCATAAAGTAGGACGGAACGAACTGCTGCGCAGTAAACACGTCCTTTGGTTGATAGACGGATATCTCGCCTACGCCATAAATGACGCAAGTTGGCAAAAGCTAGTCGAGCCTTCTGTATCTGTGCTGAGATTTCGTCACACACTAAACCACAAGGGCTGATGAGACTTCCAAGATAAGTGAAGCGGTCGACACACTCAACTACTTCACTCCCTATCACTAGTTCGGGTGTCGATGTAACCCAATCCTGAAGCAACATTTTGCATTTCGAAGGGCAGAATCGCATGCCGAACATGCTTGCATTGTTGCTTAGAGTGGTCAGAAGACTCTGCATTTTGTCAGCGTCTTCACCAAATAAAACTATGTCATCTGCATATTCTAAGTCAACAAGTGAACCTCGCGGTAGAAGTTCAACCCCTGGAAATTTAGATGAGGAAAGTGTTATCTCTAAAAGTACGTCGACCACAAAGTTGAACAAGAATGGGGAGAGTGGACGGCCCTAACGAACACCACTTGAGGTAATCAATTCTGATGACAGTTTGCCATAAGCTCTCACTCTACCAGTTGTGTTCGAGTAGAGAGCCTTTATAAGGTTAATGTACTTCTTTGGTACTCCTTTCAGTGACAAACACTGCCATAGAACCTCACGATCAACAGAGTCGAATGCCGCCTTAAGGTCGAGAAAAACTACCATTGTGGGGCGTCTGAATGTGTGTCTGTGTTCTAGAACCTGACGTAGTGTGAATATCTGATCTATACAACCACGTCCAGGTCGAAAACCGGCCTGGTTTTCTCTAATCTGCTCTTCACGAGCTTTGATTAGGCGTCGAAGTATTATTGAAGCTAATATTTTAGACACTATATTAGTCAAACTGATTCCTCTGTGATTGTCACAGGAGGACTTATGTCCTTTCTTATAGACTGGCACAATCAGTGATTGAGACCAGTCAGATGGGATTACGTCCAGTTCCCAAATTCTACCTAAGACCTCAGTTAATCTCATTGCTAATACTGGACCACCATCTTTAAAAATCTCAGGAGTAAACCTGTCAGGGCCTGCTGCTCTCCCTCGTTTCAGATTTCCTATGGCTTTTTCAACTTCGTAAAGGGACGGAGGACCTACATTAATTTGCCATTCAGGTTGACTAGAGATCGTGGGGAACCGAAGTGTGGCTGAAGGCCAGTTGAACTGACCCCTAAAGTGTTCTGCCCATCGATCCAATCTCCTGGATTGAGAATGAATAATATGTCCATCTTTCTCTGAGATTGTTTCGCTAACAGTCAGTTTCCTAATACCGGTTTCCTTAACAAGTCTGAACAATTGTCTGCTATTACCTATTGCCGCTGCCTTTTCCATCTCTCTTGCTTTCGCTACCCACCACTGTTCGCGATCATTGCGTAGACTTTTTGTCAGCTTGCGCTTAAGCTGACTCCGATCTTCATTATGTTCAGAGCCAGGTGGAATGAGTTTCCGAGCATCTATCAGTGCGATAGATGCCGCTGAGATCCAGTGTTGCTCCCTAACCTTGTGGTTTACCTTACTAGCAGATATCACTGCTGTTTCCACAGCTTTTCGGATATCATTCCATGCTGCCTCAGGGTGGGCATCACATACATGGCTGCCTAACTGTTTTCCTAGTTGTTCCTGAAATATACTCTTAGCTTGACTATCATTAAGTAGGGCCCTAAGAGGTTTCCTTGCAGCGTCTTTCCTACGTCCAGTAAGACGCAGACAGATACGCGCTCGCACTAGAGCATGATCTGAATCTAGGCATGTGCTCCAGAATGAGCGACAGTCTTCTATCGAGCCCCTCCATCGGTGGCTGATAGCGATGTGATCTATTTGGGTCCAACGTTGGGACGAATTAGGGGGTCGCCATGTTAAAAGATGTTTTTCCTTATGCTTAAAGTTAGTATTTCGAACAGACGGGTCACACATATACTTGTCAAGGCATTTTTATATAAAAATTAATAAAGGTCAATCAAATGAAAGTTCTAGTAAAATAACAAAGGGGAGAGAAAGAATAAGAAATTGTCGCGTTATCGTAGGCCATAAAATGACTTAAGAATTACCAAGGTTACGACAAATTGTCTTTGTACACATAAAGGGGCTTTACATTTACGAATAGCCAAGGATTCAATAAACTTAAGAATTCGTTCTTGACAATTTCTATACAACGTTCTAAAAGCTGTATTAATGTCAATTTCGTGCCCCGTTTGAATTATGTTTCGCCATCGATGAACCTGGTTTTCTACCTCCCACATTGATTTTGAAGCCATCTAGACACATGTTCATTGACCCTTGATTGCATTGTTCGATTACTCCTTCCTATGTATGTGTGTCTACACAAACATGTAAATTGGTAAATACAATGGAATGTGACGTAATCATTAGTGCATTGTTTGGGTCTATTAGAAACCATGGGCTTAGACTTTTCAATCACAACCAACTGAGCAGCATAATAGGTATTCTCGATAGCTGCTTTCAATCTCTGTCTGAAAACTATGCTGTTGGATGCGCTTCTATATGGTAAATTGATATAAACTTTTTTCTTTGGAACTAAATAAATAGGAGATCTTGGCATTAACTGACTTTTGCATCTATTGATAAACTTTATTGGATAACCATTTGCTATTAATGTGTCAGTCAGTATCTTTTCATCTTTTTCCAACGTGTCAAAAGTACAAATTATCTGAGTCCTCTTAAAGAGACACTTAACCAGGCCTCGCTTGTATTACAATGGACAAAAACTGGAAATTTAAGTATTGTCCCGTCCAGGTTGGTTTCCTATACACTGACCGTCTAATATTATCATCATCCCTTCGACTTAAAAGTATGTCTAAAAAGGCCAATTGGCCATTACTTTCTGATTCATATGTCATCACAATATCATCTTGAACACCATTGAGTTTATCCAATAATCGGTAAACATCAAAATCCTTATCACGCATAATTAGAATATCGTCCATGTATCATTTATATAGAGTTGCCTCACTAATAAGCTCGCTCGTCATATTTTCCACATACGACATGAAAACATCAGCTAAGAGAGGCTCCAAAGGGCTACCCATAGCTACACCATTAAGTTGTTGAAAATATTCACTATCAAACGTGGATCGAACATTCGCAGTACATAATAAGAGTAATTCTTTCAAAAATGATAACGGAATGAACGTCATAAACAATGAGTTTAATATAATAAAACCTTCGGGTTCAGTTCTCCCGAATTTATATGGATTACCTAGAATTCATAAACTTAATATCCCATTACGACCAATTTTGTCTATGCGCGGTTCCCCCACACATGAGTTAGCTAAATGGTTAGTAAAATTGTTAAACCCAATTTATTAATTTTCATATAAAAATGCCTTGACAAGTGTATGTGTGACCAGATTGTTTGAAATGTATAGCGTAAATACATCAAATTTTTTCAGATAAATTCCCTCTTCTCGTTGTTCTATCGAAATTTATAAAAGGGGCTAATTACTAATTATTAAACGTGTCGTTATTTAAGTTGTGTAGTTAGTTTAAACACAACGTTTTCGCTACGGTGCAATACAGTTATTTTGATATTAACATTTATAATCTAACAACTATCCGTCAGCAAAACACTGATCAATTTTAAAGTATTTACTTTTTTATTTTACGTCTTTTAACATACTTAGGAATTTTATGTTTTCGCTTTTCAGCTTGTTCTTGTTTGATTGCTTTTTTTCTATTCCTACGACTTTCT